TCCGATACGCGATCCAAGAAACAGAGGTTCGTTCGCAACAAGAGTGCTAACGAAGGACGGCAAAGTTCTTACTCGGTTCGGAGCTAAGCGGCTTGTGCACCTGTCTTCTCCCTTTCGTACTCGCGTGGTCTCGCGTAGCGATCAGACCGGCCACGAACGCGACCAGATCCAGCCTTCGCTTCTCAACTTTGCAACTTTTCGCACAAATTGAAATTTATACGGTCACGTTAAATACGATAAACGATCCAAGACTATTCCTCGCTCAAATATTCCCTTTGTCGCTTTATCTCGCGACAACGATACGTCCGAATTTTTATATACCAAACGGATATATCCTCGTTTTAAGAACAAGCGAAGAATTAAACGATCGGATCTGAACGTACGAATTCAACGTTGCGTCGAGAAAATCCGAACAAAAATCTCTAGCGAGAAATTTATTCATTACGGACAATTATCGTAAGAACGTATACACGTATTTACGTTCATATTTATAAGGGAAACGTAACGAATTGTACAGGGGAATTTTGCAAATACGTTATTCGTATGGAGTATAATCGAACGATTAAAGGATTAAAACTGAAACATTTGACAGATCGTTAAATCAAGCTCTTTTCGAGACAAGGTTGTTGTCGTTGCAGCGTGGACGCGAAGGATTAACGATCCTTTCGAAGGGGATATTGCGGTCGAATCGGTTGTTTTACACGTGAATCCCGGTGTTTGGCGTCGCGAGCCAGCCATGGGTGTCCCGCTGTTATCGGCATTTAGCGTTCTCGTCGCTAGCGATCCCAAGATAACCAACCGAGTGGTCGCCCCCGGTGCTGCAAACGCGCGGCTGTCCCATCGCGCGATAAAAATGATTAAGATCGAATAACGCGGAGGTCCAGCGTCGCGACCTCCGATGATCTATCGACGGGCTTCCGCGGCCATTTAAAACCGAGTTCGAGGACCGACTCGTGAAAAATAACGCGATCGTAAATGAATTTTAAATCTCGTCCATTCGCCGAACCAAAAATCGACCGTAACGAGAATTTATAACCCGCGATCGATTAACCGCGATGCATAGCCATTATATTATATCGCGTAATCGAATTGTGCGTATTTTTTGCTTTCGACGTGATCGTTTTCAATTTCCATTTCCCTCTAGAAGAAACGAGAAAAAGCGATAAAAGCTGATATCGTATAGCGATGGTAGGGATTCGAGAAGCAAAGTTGGATCCCAAAGCTTGAAACGATAAAGCACGCGTGCGGTTTCGTAGCGGCGTGAGAAAACGGCTCTGGCAAAGATTTTTAACGCGCTGGTATAACCCCGTCGCGTCGAGGCGTATACCGTCTGTACGTACACACGAGAGAAGATGGCCACGGCAGGAAGGAAGAGAAAAACGAGAAAGGAATATAGCAGGACCAGACGAAGAAACGAGAAGAGAGAGAGAGAGAGAGAGAGAGAGAGAGGAAGGGATGGGTAGAAGAAGCAGAAGAAGGAGAAGAAAATAAAGAAGAAGAAGAAGAAGAAGAAGGAGAGAAAGAGGGAGAAACGCGCGCGTATATTAGCCACAGCACAGCGAAAAACGCGAGGCTATTAATTCAGAGCCGGTGGACACCGGTCAGCGCCGGCAAAGGAACAAAATGAGCGCCCTTGGGTCAGGCCCTAAATAAAAGGAAAGAAGGAACGTTTAAATAAAAGTAAACTCGTGTCGCCGTGGACCGTCCGCCGCGTGGTCAACTTCCCTCGAGCGAAAACGAGGGACTTTCGGGAAGAAAAGTTGCCTCGAGATCGCACCATGGACCCCGCCATGGGGACCGCGTGGTGCTCCTTCGCGAGAAACCTGTCCGAGCATCGAGATCGACCTTGCGCCAACCGCGATTCCCCTCTGTTATCCGAGTATCGCGTGGAGAACGCGGAGAACACGCGTTTTTCGCCTTCTCTCGGCCTAACGGTACTGCAACGAAACAGCATCGGCTTCCCTTTCAACCGTCCTCTCCTTCGACAACCGTCCAAAGGATAATAATGTTTTCTTCGCGAGAACCGATACACCCACTGTCGGCTTCGCAAATTTCTCTTCGCTAATTCTCGCCGTATCGAAGATCTGTATCTCGTTTAGACGCGGTTAGATCTCCGACCTCCTCTCAACCATATTATATACTCGCCTCGTATAATTTACCGCGTGATAAACAATTCAAGTGGATAAACAGCGGTAATATCTCATCCTCGTCCCGACATTCCTCTCAATGTCGACCGAGTAATACCGGCCATTACTTATTATTTATCGCCCCGACCGTGATATCGGTTATATAAGATATTATCCCGTTCCATCTCGCGTGATGGCGTTTATCATTTTCCACTCTTCCTGTTCGCGAACCGATTGTATTTGGATCGATCGAAACGCTTTTGCGGATATCCACTCGTTAATTCGATCACTCGTTCTGCATCTATATGTATATATATTTTGCATATAAATCGTTTCAATTTTATCGAAAATAATTGAAACTTATTTATTAATTCCAAATTATTTATTAATATTACTCCATCGCGGATCACAATTCTACGATGGAGACCGATTCCTGATTTTATCGCGACGATCAGCCAGATATAACGACGACAAATTGCAAGCGTGTCCGATGGAACGGCAATCAGTGAGACGTTACGCGCGTCGTATTTGGGCAAACAACGAATGGAATGATCGGGAAGACGCATTGCCGGAGCATTAGAGGGAAATTCCTCGTCAATCCAAGCGTCGCTACGTTTTTTTCTTCAGCGCGGAGCCTACGAGAAGAACGTTATCCTCGATGCAACTTGTGTTTCGAAATTATTTCCACGAATAATGCACTTTTTTTTTAATTCCCTCTCGCGAATTCCCTCTCTACGATCAATTTTTCTCTTTTCATTTGAATCGGATCGAAAGAAGGGGAAAAAGCAAAAGCAAAAAGTCGAGATGAATAAAAAAAGAGATGAGAGATGAGAGAAAGGATATTTAAAAAAGCAATAAAAAGATAATACGGGTATGTTCATGGAATGGGAAGAAACACCATGGGATGGCTCATGCTTCGAGCAGACGGTGATATTAAAATGACGCGGCAGAGGATCCCCACGCGGAATGAAACTCGTAGAAATTCTCGTTTCGTCTCTCGTCTTGGTAAACTATTTCAGGACAACCGACTAAAAGCGAGAATTCGTAAACTCTGCGCAAACTAAAACATTGGAGAAGCCGGTTGGATCGTTTACAAACATATTATCGTATAATGGGTCTATTTTTGTCGGCTCGCGCGACTTTTAAAAAGACGTTTCCCGAATTTCTATTTCACGTCCATTCCGATACTTTTTTGAGAAAATCGTTTTTAAATCGTTTGAAATCGTTATTAATTTTTAATACCGAGTACAGATACACACTCGAATCTATCATTTTTTTTCACGCGTCCATCAATACGAATTTAGATATATTAATAGGTAAGTTATTATATTAAATCCTTTTTATTCGAAATTATCGATGATATGCCACGATATCGATGCGAATCCTACCGAAAATATTTCGAATATTTTTCTAGATAATTCGTAAACGATTATTCGTAAACGAACTTATCTAAATCTATATCTCGGTTCGTGAATTCTTTCGCGCGACAAATTTTCATCAACATTCGTATTTATCGTTATTTCACAAACGATGATCGCTCAACTTGCGGAGATCAGACACGTCGTAATGGTATTCCTATTAAAATAAAATACGCAGTCGCGAATGCGAGGTATGCAGAAAATAATTCGAGATTCACGGAAATTCGTAATCATGGTTTTAAAAAGGCTCGCCGAAAACGAATGCTCGTATATTCAACTAATAGCTTGAAATGCGTTCATAAAGAATTTCTATCGTTATCGTTATTAAATAATAATCCATCATTATTCCTTCGTCTCGAATATCTTAATTATATTTTATAATAACGATAAATTTCCCGTCGCAAAATATTCGAATTAACGCGAAAATTTAACGAGATACGAACATGGTATCTATATCGCGATGATTTAAAACCCATCCGACCGAAAATAGTCGTTATTGTACAGTGATAGCAGCGTATATTAAAAAATAAAATATCTAAATACGTGTTACGATATTCGATAATTTCAATATGTATTAAATAACTAAATCTTTCTTGTAATTACGCACATTTATTCGACAAGTGAGATTCATCGAATAAATTATTTTGAATTTATTTTTTATATTATTCAAGAATGAAAGAAAACGAATGATAAAAAAAACACGATAATTCTATATCATACGATACGTCGTCCCATAAATTTCCGATGAAAGGCTTCGTTTTGACCAACGATCGAGATTTTTTTCCCCGACCATCCACGTCGATCCGGAGAAACTTTTCTCGAATCAAGTTTTCCATTACTCGACCACCCCATGGATCACGTTGTCGATTCGAATCGACAAACTAGTTTCTCCAGTTTCGAAACAAACTCGGCTAATTCGAATCCAGTAACGGTACCACGTTTGAGATATACGAGCGACAAATAGCGAGCTGGGGTGAGGAAGCTATCTAACGAGATAATTCGACGCCCGCGATATCATCCATCGGCCAGAAAATTTCGTTCGGAGAAAGAATAATACGTACGTAGCGCGTTATAATGGCATAAAAGTGAACGTCGAATAAGAAATTGCGCGATTTATATTTATTTTGTTAGCGTCACGAGAACAAGGAATCGGATGTCGGGACGGACCAATCGGTAAGTGAAAACTGCGATCATTTTTAAAAACGAGTTCTACTCGAACGCGCGACGTGTCACGTTCGCTTACGAATAACAGAATCGGTTGACAAAAATCGTTTAAATTTTCCAACATCTCAACGATCACGAAACGTCTCTTATCGATACGTACGAAAGTGTATTCGTTTCCGCGTATAAGATAACGAGGTAACGCATTCGTAGGAATCTTGGTAAAATATGGAAAACGATACATCTCGATTACGTTAGACAAGAAACGAAAATAAGGTAGATATATCGAACTTACCCTATCGTATTGATGCGTCGCCGTGGCCGCGGAGAAAGATTGAAAAGACGCCGACCTTGTAGGGCTGTCGTGGGCCGCATGTGGATTCGTGTGGGGATGGGTGTGCGGGGCCGTATGAGGGTGGGTCGGGTGCGGCGGTGGTGGCGGCGGTGGCCTCTGGTAGAGGTAAGGATAATATTGATACATCACCTCGGAACAGCTCATCACCCCGCCCGGGCCCGGCACCCCAGAGCCGGCCTGTCGACGTGCGTACCCGAACGTCGCACCACCCGTTCGTCCACTATCTTTTCTTTCCACTTCGTCCACCACTCTCCACCCTCTCCTCCTCCTCCTTCTCTTCCTCCTCTTCCTTCTCCTTCTCCTTCTCCTTCTCCTTTTCCTTCTTCTCCTCCTCTTCCTCTTTCTCCTTCTTCTCCTTCTTCTCCTCTTCTCTTCTTCTCTTCTTCAATTTCCTATATATATATACGTTTGTCGTTCGATCGATCGAAACGATAAATGCCAAAGTGTCAGCCCGATCCGAGCATCTTCACGTCACGCGGTTCGTATCCACGAATCGCATCGACAAAGATCGCTCTCGAGATCTGTCTTTCGAATGCGCGTCCACGAATTTCTCTCGAGATTCGAGAGATTCTCTTAGCGCCGCGATGCTTTACGTATCGATCATATCGAGGGAAACATTGGAAATTAGATCAGGGAAGGGATCGAGATTATTCGGTATATTATTAACGCGTAAAAAAAGATTTTTACCTCGTTTTTATTCGGTTCTTCTCTTCGCGAGGAAGAATCACGTCGTAGCACTTTTTCGACGATTGTCAACGCGATACTCTCGTTTTTATAATAAATACACTTTAACGATCACTCTTCGATCATTCGAAGAAACGACGATTTGCAAGTTTCTTTGTTTGTCACAACTTTGATTCACATAGTAAGTGTTTAACACTGCATCGAATTAATGTTTTAATGTTCTACGTCGAAAAAATAAATCGACGATACAGGACACAAGATTGTGTCGTAACGAGCACGTACGTTTATTTTACAATCGATTCTTTCGAGAATCCACGTGTTATTTTTTCGAGCAAGAGGAGAAGAAGAGAGAGAGAGAGAGAGAAAAAAAGAAAAAAAAAGAAAAAAAAACGTTTTCCTCTTTCGTATCGTTGCTCTTTCCGAAATTGGCGATTAAACACGTTTGACAACGCACTAACGGTTCTCTTCGTCCAATTTTCTCGATGATCGGACGATCAATCTCGATCTAATCTTTCCTCCTTTATCGATCAACGGTCGTAATATATAATAAAAATCACAAAACTTGAAGAAACTTTATATATTATGCACGTATATAAATATATACGTATATTTCGAATTTGATACTCGATTGAAACACCTGTTTTACGTTGAAATCACGACGAACTCTCGTTTCTCACCGTTCCCTCGCTCCAATCTCTGGGATCGATCCATGAAACCGTGTAATTCGTTACCGTGTCGTTCGTAAACGTCCCAGAACGTTGTCAAAGCGTCGAAGCGTGTAAGAAAGGCAAAGATCTCGTTTGTCCAAGATACGGGCAACACCTGGCTCGACGAGGAGTTATCCTCGCGTCGAAGAGATACGTAACCGGACCGTATCGTGGCTGGTGATGTGTCTCTGATGGGCGAACACAGACTGAACCCCCCGGCGTCGTGTCACCCTCACCGTAGACCAGTCCGCCGTCTTTTTCCAACTGGTCGCGCCGCGCCGCTCCGTCTTTTTCGCTCGCCGCGTGTTCTCTCCTTCCTGGCGAGGGTCAGGGCCTGTTTCCCCCTTTCGTTCACCCCCCAACAGAGGGGCAACCAGCAAAGGAACCGCCTCCTGGTAGTTCCACAACCGGCCAATCACCGACCAGGAACGGCACGTCCAATGAGGCGACGGTTGCCACTCCTACACCCGGTCGTCTCTGTATTGATCCCACAATGAACCCGACTCTGCCGTCACGGTATTAAGAAGTTCCTACTCGGGTTAAACCATCCCCCTACCTCCTCGCCCGCCTCCGCAACTCGCTCCCTCACCTCTCCTCTCCTCTCCTCTCCTCTCCTCTCCTCTCCTCTCCTCTCCTCACTTCTCTTCTCTTCCCTCTCTCTCTTCACTCCTCACTCCACCTCTCTCCTCTCTTCCCTCTCTCTCTTAACTTCGCCTCCACCATCTCTTTCCGTTTCTCCTTTGCCTTCTTCGCTTCTCTTCTCGTCTCACCGTCACGTCCCCCTGCCTGTCCGTTCTTCGCGTTTGTCCGCGTATCCGTTCGCCTTCTCGGTTCGCCACCCTTTCGCCGCTTTCGCAACCCCAAACCCGAACAGCGGCTCAGCCAGGCCGCGCGCATAATGAGTCTTAATTAACAGTTTCGCGGTGTTTCGCCAAGCTTAATTTGCCGCGTCGAGCGGAATCTCTCCGAAGAAGAGATTCTCTCCTCTTTTACCCTTCATTTTTTCGCATCGAATCGGCTAAACCCGGCTAGAAATCGATTCCATTGCTTCCATATTGCCGGATTGGATGGTGATCGTGATTCGGATCGGATCGATCGATGTAATGATCTATGATCGATGGACGATGAATTTCTCCGCGTCGAGATATCGAGATGGTTTTATAAAATTTTATGTAATATTCGATGATGTAAATTTCAACGATACGATCGATACTATTCAGAAAAATCGAAACGTACGTAGCTATTTGCTTATTCTATGTATATCTTAACGCGCAAACGTGTGTTTCAAAGTAAATGGTTCGTTGCTATAGAGATCCTCCTCAATATCCGGAAATTCACGGCAATGTTACACAACGAGAATGTTACATAGCGGGAAAAGACGACGCGAAACACTTGACCGTGGCGAATCTCGTCGTATCTGCCATCTAATCTCTCGTGTAACGCGGCAGGTCCGTGAACAATACCCTGTGGCATGGACCAAATCCAATAACCCTCGACAAGTGTGATACGATGCATGACCCCTTTTTTTCACGTTCCCCTTCCCCCCTTTCTCACTCTCTCTTTTTCTCTCTGTATTCTCTCGTACTACGACGGCTCGACGATCAAACGTTTCCTCCCGAGCCAGTCATCCTGCACGTGGCCACTCCAACAATGCGCCAACCGTACCCCGCTGCTAATAGTCGGACATTAAATTCGTCGGTGATATTACCGGACAGGGGTTGTATCTCCCTTCGACTCGAATTGAATGGGACGAGATGTTTGAAATATGCTAGCTTGCGCGTCATCCAAGGGGATACGTGCACTCCGACCTATGATTAGATAGGTAATATTATGAATCGAAGCAAGAGAAAAAGAATGGATGTTTTTTTGGAATCGAATCTTTCGATAGTTTCGAGAAAGAAAAGATGTTAAACGATGAACGATCGGTATGGATCGATAATTTTTTTTTTTTTTTTTTTATTAAAGATAACATACATCTATCCAAGTGCATATTCTGAAAATGATCTATTTTCATTGTATATATATATATATATATACATCATTTATTATAGCGGTATTTTATACGTAGATATTATTCTTCCATTGCTATTTTAATGCTAAATTGCTCGTATAATTAAAGGAATTAAATTGATTTTAAAAATTCTTGATCATTATCGTGTCAAATGTAATTTTAATCAATGAAAAAGGTCAAAGTAGTCTTTTTTATTTGCAACGAGATATCTGTAACGATGCTACGATTCAGCTTCATCATTATTAATTCAACGCACGGATCCGACACAATTGTGCCGTAGGGATTAAACTTGAAATGCACATATGTAGCCATTGTGTTAAATATGGATCTTTCGAGTGGTTGTTGCATACCTGTTGTGCAATCTTCTTCGATGTGGAAACCTTCGATGTTGTATTTCTTTCACTTGAAGTGCAAATATCACGCTCTATTGGACGATAAGTAACTCGGCGATTGAGAAATAATCAACGCAATTTCACGGTGGCTATTATGCGATACGCGAGTAATTATACGCGAGTTGAATCTAGAAACGATTGATTTGAAATTTGGATTTAAAATTTGGAATAATGTATTTAATTATCCATAATAGAATATCCATTTTTACGTTTTCACATAAAATGAATTCCGTTCGATATTTTTATATTATATTTCGATATAAAAATATTATTTTCTCGATGGCCAACATCCTTAGAATCGAACAAAATTATATAAACGATTATCAAGGTTGGATGATAATCTACCCAACCACGCGACAGATCATTACTATTATTAAGTTTGTCGGAAGGGGTGGAACGGAGCGGTGGAATCGAATCGTAGCGTTCAAGGCGGACGAGGACAAAGCTTTGGAACTAGAATAAGAAAGAAATAAGAAGTAGGTAAGACAGAGAGGGCAGTTCTCCTGGAATCCCCTAATTTGCTATTTCGGCATTCCAATCGATCCGTGTGTTCGTCAGTTTAGTTCGTGGGATCTTGCTCGTGAGAGGCTGTTGCCGATCTATCAAAAAACGGTTCCTCTTCTGTCGCCACATCGCGAACCGACTGAATTCTTGTTGTCATGATCCTGCCATGGTCGATGAAAATCGACCGATTCGAATCTATCGAAAGGATTTCTCCGTTGATATCGTACTGGATTATCACCATCGTGTTATCGTGGAAATCATTTTATTTCTTTCGGAAGGATCCGTTCGAAAAATAATATCGTTCGAAATATCTCTATACTTAAATAAGAAGTCATTTATATTATATTATATTATATATTAAGTACGTCAAATTTATTGTATCGAAAGATTGATCAATAGCATGTCACATTTTATCACGACACATTCATAATTTTGATAAGTAATATTTCAATATTTCAAAGACCTATTTCGTATTCTTAAAAATGAAAATAATCATTGGTTTATATCAATTGTCAAAATTGATAATACAACAAAATGAGAGACAAGATAATAATCAAGAATAGACGTAATCTCATCTAACGTAATGTTTGATGAGATTACACATAGCGAATAGAGAATAAAATATTATCGACAAACGAATTCTCGATAATATTATTTTTTAAAAGAATATTTCAAAATTTCTTCCTATATATTTATTTTGTTGCCGTCTCAAACTTTTTTATTCGAATCCTATCGCTTTCAAAATATTCGCGTCAGATATCACGGTGCATCGTTGTTTCGCAATTTTATCTATCTATCGTTTTAAAAATACATTGTAAAACCCAGAACGTTAATATCTATATTCTTCATGTTAGATTAAAGATTAAGACGATACATTGTAGTTTCGAAAGAGAAACGATGCATGTTCGATTCACATATCCTATATCTCTTTTATGATCTCGCGTTAACAGCGAGTATAAACAAAAAAAGAAAGAAAGACAAAAATATATTAATTGCGAATTCAGCACCATCTCTAAAATATAGAAAAAGAAATATACATGAAAAAAAAAATACGTCCAAGAGTGTTCGATAGATGGCACTGATTTTCGATTCTTAATCTACCTTACCTTGCCTTTGAAAATATTATATATATTGTCGAGAGATGGCACTAGTTTCCTAATTATTACGGATGAAAAGGTTAAAATTCTGAAAGCTTGTAATTAATTACAAAAAAGAATTAAAATTCAATGACAAATAATACGATCAATCCTCTTTTCTTTTACTCCTCTTCTTCAATTTGTATCTGTAATAAATTTAATTATTGAATTAATAATTAAAATATAATTTATATCTGAAAAAAAACGTTAATGTTTAGAAAAAAAAAATTTTTTTTCGCGTTTCCCGAAATGATGGGATTGGATCCGATAAGCCGGCATGCAAATCGACCAAATAATACATTTACTACGTATTACTAAAACGAACACAGTGACAAAATAATAACAATAATTTTCCATTCTTTGGAAATCGAAAAATCGATCAGTGAAGCTATAGAGGATGTTAACATTGTCCATTTCCTCAGATTTTCTCTCAATTTTTTCAAATTTAATTTTTTGAAACAAGTTGTCACGAGAGAATGTGCCTATCCGATTAGTGATAACCTGACCGGCTCTACTTATTTATTTATAATTAACAGACACACTAGAAATATACTATCTATCCTTATCCTTATCCTTAATATACTATATTAAAAAAACGACAAAACAAATATACCAACACACTCCACTTTATGATTCTCACGTATAACGGCCGGGTGCAAATCTACAGAACATATCCAATATCAATATTTTATCACATTATATGCATAAAATTTACGTATCATTTTTCCTAAAATCGATTGAGAATGGCTAGCTACCATTGACACGCGATAAACACACGCATATATCTTTTAATTTTAATTATGATATAATATAATAAATATCTATTAAATAGATATATAGTTCTATTATTAAAATAAAATTTAATGAAATGATTGACTTAAAATGAAATTTTAATACGAATGAAAATATTCTCATTTTTTTTTTCATCTTTCATCATTTCTTTTTCATCAAAGAATATTTTCACAAAAGAATACAAAAGAAATATTCAAAATTTGCCTGTCGCTTAGCATCTTCTTGCATACGATATACGTTTTTATACTATATTTCTAAATGAGAAGAATAAAAGTATCTTTATTATTTTGAAAATCAAGCGTTTAAAAAAATTAACATGAAAGAAAAGATTAAAAATTAAAAATGATCTATTATCGTACTATTTATTATTTATTAGAATATATGCATATGAATATTTATTATATATTTGAATATTTAACGTTTGGAAACATTCATGGATTACAATGATTTAATTTTATATAATTAATTTGGAAAATTATTAATATTTAAAAGTGCCATGTACACAAGAAGACCTAACCTGAGTTAATAAATAAAACATAGAAAATGTTTACTATTTACAGATATAATAAATACCTATAGTCACTGGGTGCTTGTATAAAATTCTTGTACAATTCTTGTACAAATTCTATATATT